GTTAATTAAAAAAAGCTTTGGTTTAACATTTCAGTATTTACAAAACAATCAGGTGTTCTGCATCAAATAAGATGGCACTCAAATTATTTGTGCCAGTCCAAAACATCATTTCTGTCCACTGTAAGATAAAGAAGAACATCACAAGTCTGATACCTGTAGGCCTGACAGCAGGAGGTGTATCACTCCTCCTGTTTTCCACCTGGAGACAGCATTTACACTGCAATCTGTCTTTGGTGGCTGTTTTGGCAGCAACTGTGATATTCAGCAGTTGCACTATTGTTCTGACACACAAAACAAAACTATCGATTACACTACACAACACAACGCAACAAACTAACTTTAGACTCCAAACACGCTAAAAGTCACATATCTCTCACGTCTCAAAACTCTCTCTTTCTCTCACTCTCGTCGCTGTCACTCCTTACAAAGTTTTAGAGTTTCTTCCTGCAGTAAACATAACGATAGTATTCAGGAAAAACATTGTAAGTTCACTAAATTAGCTTGAAAAGCATTGACTACATGAAAATAGCCATTTGGACAAGGCTCATCTAAGCCATCAGCAGATGTTGCACTGAAAAAGTGCAAAGTATAATCAGCTGATTTACAGCGATTACAGAGAAAACCCCAACAATGTTTTCCCTGCTGAGGTTTTGTTCTCCTGAGTTTGACACGAAGACCCTCAATCACAATGTCCATGAACTCACTGGTGCAAAGAGTGGGCAGCGAGTACCTGTCAAAGAAAAAAATGTCAACCTGCTGCTGACCAAACAGGAAGAAGACGCCCTCTGGAACACTTCAAAGAGACCCTGAACCAGTGCATTCTCTCTCCCCTACTCTTCCTTCTCAACATCAACTTTGTTTTGCGGACTGCCATGGCCATGGATGGCTTTGGGATACCTTGGCATCCACCAACACGTCTGAAGGACCTCGGCTTCATGGATGACATCGCTGTGTTGGCTGACGTCCAGAAGAACATGAAAACCATGACATCAAACTTGGAGCAAGAGCCAAAGTGGGCTTGTGGATCAGTGGGAACAAGACCAAGGCCATGAGGATTGGTTACATGACAACACAGGACCCCATTATGGTAGCACTGCAACCGCTGGAGGAGGTGAATCAATTCACCTACCTGGGCAGCATCCTTGCAAGCAACAGAGATGCTGACCATGAATGATGTTGTGTGTCGGAGAGCAACCATCGGCCTGCAACACGTCCCCTCCATGGCATTGTGACTTAGCGGACAGTGCACTTTGGAGGTCACATTCTATGCCAATTCCCGCAAAGACTGCCCAAGATTGCCATCACGTGGAACCCTCCCCATGGAAGACGCAAACCAGGCCACGCTCATACAAAAAGGCGGAGGACTTTAATTGATGATTTACGTGCCTTAGACATTGCATGGGATGAGGCCAGCCGCAGCTGATCGAGTATGCTGGCGGGGATTTGCCACCCAATGCGGACAGGGCGACCAAAGTAAGTCTCCTGAGTTTTGAAAAGCAGGGATCAAAAAAAATAATCAGCTGATATGCATAAAATATCATTTATATTTTTACCAGAACAGTACTTCGTCCCATCTCTGTAACACAGGGTTAGTGTTAGGGGGTAGGTCTGGGGCACGTCACTGTCACCATTGATGCTTTAGGCCTCAGAGGGTCAGAAAAGCACCATAATGCATTTAGCTTAAGTCACTGTTTAATAGTCTACACAAATTGTGTGTTGGTTACCTGCTGCATTATGTTTGTGGTATTCGATCAGGTCTGGGATGGAGCTGAAGAGGTGTTTCTCAGCCAGGTAGAAGTGTTTTGGTAGGGTTTGTGTCTCCTTGATGTGGTAATGTTTAATAGCTGCACCTCCATCCCTACAAATACAACATAACCACAGTGTAAATCAAGTTGTACCAGCTTTTATTACATAAAACTTATAACTACCACACATGTGCAGAATTACCCTGAAGACTTGGTGTAGAGCGAAACAGTGTAGGTTCCTGGGGTGCTGGAGTTTCTAATAATGAAGGCTCCTTCTTTATCCTGGAGGGCATGGCACAGAGACAAAGGCTGAAAACTAAATAAGATTTTTGTTTAACCTCTCAACATACACCAGGGCACCAACAGACTAGATTTTGGGCTAGGGTTGTTTCAGCCACAAAATAAAGTTTTGACCTTGCAGTTTTTCCTCTTTCAGGATTTTCCATTTGAGCCTTCCAAACAGGCAAAAACTAACTAACCCCAGATGGCTCGGCTACATAGGGCTTGTTAAAAGATTAAAAAAAACCCACTCCATTCAACCTTAGTTTGATATAATTCATTTTAGCTCAGCCCCCTGTAAGCCAACCTTCTACTGATTTATATATAGAAGAGCTGAGCAGGTGGGTTTCTGTTCAGCTGTTCACAGTAGGTTTTATGTATTTCTTGTCTGCATGTTTCATGTTGTCAAGGCTGTGTTGTCATGTCTACATCTCTGTTTCCCCTTTTGAAGAGTCAAGTGTCTTCACGTTCCATGCGTTTTGTTTTACTTCCCCTGTGGTGTCTCTGGCTGTGTCCCAATCCAGCGACCGCACGCTCCGTAGTGCGCATTTGGAGACCGATTACGCCACAGCGACACGATGACGGCTGTCCCAATTCGAAGTGTACTCCAATTTGAGGGGTGAGTCCGGTGTAGACTTTGTGGTCCCATATATCCCACAATTCATAGCGCGGTGGTGGGTGTGGATATTTTCTTTGGAAAAAAACGGCAGATGGCTGAAACTGGGTTAGTTTTGCGAGATCTCGCAAAAGTCCATCTTAATTTTTTTTTCTCCCATGTCCCCTGCGGGGCTCCGTATGAATGTTTAATAAAGAAGAACATTAAAACATTACTGTTGGCCACATGTCGGCAAAGTTATGTGACATTAGTGATGTTTGTACTTGCAGCGTTAACTTGGTTTTAAAGCCTTTACGTTTTATATTCAGTCAGTCATATATCCACAAACACAACAAGCTGAAAGAAAGTCAGTGATGCTGCTCGGTTTGCAGTCCTGAATATCACGGCACAAGCAGGATTCACTGCACTGTTAATGTTAGCTATGTTATATTGCTGCCTCTGTTCGGTGGTGTGTTCATATACCTCTTGTCATAGTTATCATTGCTGTCATAGTTGATTCATAGTTCCTCAGCCTCTTCACAATTTGTCAGAGTTATTTAGTTTTCCCAGTTTAGGTTTAGTTTAGTTTCGCCCAAGTTTCATCTCGGCTTGTTTTTCTGTTTATTGTGTATCAGCCCCAATAAAGGCTCGCTTTTTGTTCAACTTCAGTTCAGTTCTCCCGTGTCTGCTTTTGGGTCCGTTCATTAAACACACCAGCTGCTCAGCTGTGAAAGTGTGCCTGTAATTACCATATTAGAGATATCCCTTCTTTCTGACATCATAGAAAGCAAAGAGCAAACATGCCTGAAACTTTGCAGACTAAACTTTGTAGTTTCACCAGTAAAACAGTTACCAGAACATGTCACTGACAAACCATCTATGATTAGGCCTTATATTTGATTAACATCCACCTCTTTTACAATAGAATGCTAACCTGTGTGGAACTCTCAAATGTAAATACTTTGAAAAGAAAAACTGAAAGGCCAAAATGCATGAGACTAGACTGAAATCTAACATTTTCTAGTTTGTGGACACCATATAGCTAAGTAGAACCCATTTTAACATTAAACAGTTTGCCTGGCGGCTATTAAGAGGTTGACGGATTCCACAAGTTTAAAATTCAAGACTTTTCTAATCCACACAACAGTAATTTCTGTTATCTCAGTCACCTTAGTCAAAGAATCCAGAAAACTGGAAGGGCTGAAAATATCTAAATTTGTGTTTTCTTAAGAACAGATTTCGTTCAGCAACATGCTATCACTAATATCACCGTCTCTAAATCATAGAAGTACGTATAAACAGGGAGGGAATAAAGACAAAGAACCAAAGGTAGGAAAGAGAGCCTAACCTCCTTCCTCAGTAGCTCCTCAGCTTTATTCCTGTTGACATTTTTACTGTACCAGCTGGAACAAACAAAGAAAACACAACATGAGACTCTAGTGCTCTGCCTGCTTTGTGAAGCACTATCAGCTGGCTGAATCCAAACATCAAGAGTGAAATAAGCGTTTACTGGAAGATAGCATGACTCACAGTGAACTTTACGATTCAACTGCAAATACATTTACTTCAAGAGTATAACATCAGCCTCCAAATGATCGAAATATCTCTTCTACAGTTTTTGATCAACTTACAGTGGCAAAACCTAGATTTGCTATTTCACCAATGACATTGTGATGGTGTCTCAGGAAAGCTGATAGTCAACCATGAGAGTTTCAATTTTGGTTTAGTTTCACTTCATTTATAGTGTTTTTAGCATTTTTCGTTAATAAATGTTCAAGATTCGTTTAATTTTAATTAACCCTGGGACCTACCATAGACCTAACCTACCATAGAACCAAGTTTGCCAGAGCTTATCTTTACATTTTTACATGCTGTAGTGCCATTTTTGGGAGCATTTCAAGTTGCTATACATCAATACAACCATTGTAGCCAAAATTTTAATAATGTGTATGCATTAAGTGCATAGTAATTACATAAATTGCAAAAAAATTGCAAAAAACTGCAAAACAATTGAAAATTGTTTTTTTTTCCTGTTTTTTATACATATATTTCTAGTTAGAGAAATTTAAGAGGTTTATCCCTCAAAACTGTAAATACAAAAAAGTTGCACAAAATTGTTTCAAACAACAGGAAATTTATTTTGAGTGTCTTTATAATTTTATTTTTGAGATACACCAATTTGTATATACTGCAGGAAAAACGAAAATAAATATTATGATGCAAATTTGCAAAAAAAAACCAAAAAAAAAAAAACCAGCATGTGCATCAAAATAAACTATTTCCAGCAGCGCAATATGAGTTCTAAGCATCCCAGAAACGACACAGAAAAGCATAAAGTCTAACATGAATTTGGAAAAACACCAGTATAGGCTTATAAGGCCCTGAAGGTAAAAAATTTAAAAACTGTTACGCAAAACGGAGCGTGCTGCTCCGTTCGGCTTTAAAGGGTTAATTTTGTAGATCAAATTGTAAGATTTGAGAAGTTGTCTATAGGACAGTAATACAACACAATGCAAGTGTGTGACCTCTACTCATACAGATGCTGGTTTTATCATAAAGGTCTAACTATTAAATATATAACTATCACAGCTTTGATCAGAAATCTACACTTTAACTTTGGAAACCTGTATAACCTGTAAGATGTAATTAAGTAAACACAGTTACCTTAAGTAAATAACCACATATCAAACTCAATTCAAATGTGGTGTTGCCCAAGACTACTTTTCCCAACATGTGTTTAACTGCTTGGTGGTTGGCCATGCTTTCAGTCCATAGAAAGTGTGCTTGTGTAGACTCAGTAAATGCCAAATTTCAAAAACCCTGTATTAACAAGGTCCAGACATTAGGATTCAGCCAGCCATTAAACTCAAACTGTAACTGGGAAATGATTAACACACTCACACATATTGGACCAAGTTTCCGGATTTTTTCTCAGTTACATAGTTACTTGGAATGTATCCTTCCTCACTGTGAAAAAACACAAACAAACTACCACATCACCACAACACACAAAGACATGAGAAACTAGGTGGTAAAACACAGAAATACAGCGTGAACTCACTTATACTTGTTGCGTGCCCTGTACCAGTTGACGTCACACTTATCCACGATGACATACTCTTCCCCTTTCACCAGACTCAGATCATGAGGCTCCATGCCGGGGAAGTCATACATAGCCACGACCACCTCCTCTTCCTCAGCCTCCTCATCGTCTTCCTCATCATCTTCGGGGGTCGGGGGGGCAGGAGGAGGAGTCCGACGCTGAGGAGGAGTAGGAGTGACTACAGGCTTGCAGCTCCTGGCTTATACTGATATATTGGTAGTACGTGTGTGTACGTGTGTGCGTGTGCACATGTGTGTGTGTGCACGTGTGTGTGTACGTGTGGTTACCTTCTCTTTTTTACACTTCTCTCCAGGAATCGGGGGTAGAGGTTTTCTGGAAACTAAAAAAAAAAAAAAAAAGGAACAGAAACAGCGAGTCAAGCATGAAGTTTTTACATTTTCGCATTCAGTTTCATCTTCACCATCATCTCTGCTTTCAGTTCACACTGACCTCTTGACCCTTCTGCTTCTGGTCACCAGTGATGTGGCTGATCAACAGCTGTTGATCAGCCACATCACTGCGGCGTAGTGCACTAGTCAACGCCTCAGCTTTTAAGCTATAAATGCAATTTCCTGTTTTTGTCTTCTCACTTGGTGAATCAAGGGTTTCAAAATGTAATAAAATAACCATGACAACGGAGCAACTCAGTTTTATCTGAAAACCTTTACTGTGAAAGGTTCACCGACTTTTACAAATGTATTCTACTTACTGTGCGAACGAGTTTGAGGTACTCTACCAAAGTGTATTAATGTAGTTATCGCTACATTTCACTGATGACTGGAGTCACTTTGCAAACTCAAAGGTTTACATTTAAAGAAATAGTTGGTTTATTGAAGCACTGTAGCTTCAACTGTGTGTGTGACTATACAAAACTATTAGGCTTTATCTGGGGCACTTAAATGCTATTCAAGTACAACTTAGCTGCCGGTGGCCTCTTACCGCTCCACGAGGGAGTATTTTAACATACTGACTCACAGTGTGGTAAGCTGGTTGCCCAGCAGCTGTCAAAGAGTGTAAAAAGGCTACAAATGGTCATTAGCACAGGCCACAAAATCATTGGCTGTCATCCTTCTCTCTCCTAGATATTGTTACCTCACCAGAGGCCAAAACATTGCCTGAGACTGCGGCCACTCTGGCCACCAGGGACCTGTAACATCTGTCCTCATGTCACTGGCTCAGACACTGAGAACTAGGACTAATAGACCATGAACGGTTTCTTCTATAAGGCCATTACCACTCTCTTACAAAAAGCAGGTGTGCTGCATTCAAACACTGTTGGAATTACATTCTCACTATATGTTTTTATGTTTATTTTTTTATATATTGCCAAAATTATTGTAGTCTCCTAGGCACATAGGCATGCAGGCTGCTGTTACAAACATTTGTGAAATAATGGGTCGCTCTCAGGGGTCCAGTAATAACATTTTCTCGCTAATAAATATTCCACAGTCAGCTGTTAGTGGTATTATCACAAAGTGGAAGCGATCGGAGACGACAGAACACAGAGGTCGCCAACTTTCTGCAGAGTCAGTCACTGCTGTCCTCCAAACTTTGGGGGTGTCCAAATTCATGGGCTGCATCCTCCTGAGGCCGCATTTGTAGACCGATTACGTCACAGCGACACGATGAAGGCTGTCCAAATTCGTAGACTCCTCCGAATGCAGCCGACAAATGCGTCCTCCTTTTCCCCAAATTTGAGGATGGGTCAGGTGTATCCTTTGTGGCCCACCATATCCCAGAATTCAGAGCATGGCCCAGCCAATTCCAGTTTTAAGTTTTAATAAAACTGCCACTATTAAGTTTTAATATTACTCTTATTACTCTTTCTACTCTTATGACTTTTAGCAAATTTTCAGGTGAGAATGTAGCTGTGTAAACTTCAAATATCTGCTTGGCTAATTAAGATATCATATAATTGCAAAAGTCCTCCGACGTTTTCAGAGACGTCTGTTATTCACCAGCTCGAGAGCTCGCCGGGAGCTCGAGGGTCACTAGAGCCGCAGAGAACGGCACACATCATTTTCAGATCACCACGGTCTTTCGCTACTCAGGTTAAACGCAATATATAAGTCACTTAGACAACCTAGTTTGGCTTTTTTCAGTGTTTTATTTGTTCAGGACTAAATCGGTTTGGCTGAGATAAAAGTTATTAGATTAGATTAGATAGTTGAATGTGAAAACAGAAACAGGAAACTGATGAAACAGAAGTGTGAGGCGGTCGAGAATTTACGCCAGTGTCCTGTTATATTTTAGATAGCAAGGAGCAGACGGCTGAGTTTATTAAACTCCACCAAGACAGCGGTGACGCTAATCTGAAGGCTAGACCGTCCCATTTCACAGACGTTTACTTCATGCTCCTACCTGTGTGGGAACAGTTTGTTTGTGGCACCCTCCTGCTCAAATATGACTGTGCACCAGTGCACAAAGCAAGCTCCATAAAGACATGGATGAGTTATGTGTGGATGATGTGGAAGCTCTTATAGCTGCAAAGGGTGGGCTGACATCATATTGAACCCTTTGGATCAATAATGGGATGTTACTCAAGGCAGACGAGCAATTACGTTTGGCAATAGCGTATTTATTTATTTTTATGTCACATGACAATAATGATTTGCGCATTCAATGTGGACTCGGACACTTTATAGCACAGCTACCTCGTTCACATTATGTGCACGTGGCTTTGTGGTGTAGCTGATATCATGATCTAAAAATGTAACATGCAACTGTTACTCTGGGACATGAAAGCTCATTGTATCATAAATACAATGTCAAAAAAGGCTTTCTGTTTTATTCTATTCCAGCATACAATGCACAGAATGAATTTTTAATACACAAATTATTCAGCAAATATGAAAACTGGTATTTACACACATTTTGTGGATTCTATGTGAAGCTCGGGGGCCAAAACTGTGAGCCAAAAAGACACTATAAAGGTCTGTAGCATTTAATGTTAATACACTGAGGTAGAATTTTGGAGTTAGTTAGTTTCCAGTATTATGCAACTGATGTGATGTGGTTGGTGCTAGCTCACACTGAGCTGACATAAAATGAGTGCAGCGCGAGGACATCAGCTTAGCAAACAGCTAAGATGTGTGGCTAATGTAAGCTAAACCTTGCTTCAGATCTGGGTCAAAGTGTCACCCCACAGGTTTATGAGACTGGTTTGTTCTTTATGAAATCGTGACTGTTAAACATGGATAAAAGGCATCATTTTCATTGGAGGGGGGCTGGTTGAAGCAGTGTGTGCTTTGCAGCTTCTTTGTAGACATTCTGGACAGCCCGCCTTCGTTACAAGCTCCATTTGAAGGATAATTATTTTTCCACAGGTTGTTATTAACCATAAAGTTAATAACAAAGTCAAGAGACAGGAAGTCTAGATGGAGCACAGAAAGCAAACATGAGCGTCAGGCACTTACTGTCTTCTAACGGGTTGTACTGCTCGCACCCCAGTGCTTGTTTTTCTGCCTGGCGGCAGCAGAGCCACAACCCATCCTGCCAGAACTGAGGGTGAAACTTCACCAAGACCTCTGCGTTGTCTTTGATCTCTGGATACACACACACAAACACACAACAGTTCAACAAAACCAGGTCTTTCCTGCTGCTTCTCTTTGAATTTTTATGTCTAGATTATCTGAGACTGGTTTTCCTTGATAAGCTGTATATAAAGTTAGGTTGATAAACTGCATACGCCATCAATAAAGCTGCAGCTGAAGTACAGAACTTTAGCTTTAATTTAGAGATGAACAAAAGCACTTTGTGAAATGTTTAAACTGCAGCTACAGTTGTAGTGACAGCTTGAAGTGAGGAACTCATGACTGTCACAAAAGGATGGGTTTCCTCTTTTGTCATCCCTTGCCAGACGTTTAATGCAGCTGTTTTCAGTTGTTCGTTTGTGGGCCTTCCTGCCTCAGTCAGTGCAGAATATTCCACTCCTTTACCTTAAAAACATTTGGTTTTCTTTAACTGGAGGTTTTGGGTTGTTGTCTATCTGTGCTTCCAAGCGGCATGAAGTCAACTTTGCAGCAGTTGACTGAATCCCTTCATCTAGCTCCTTCCCCACATCGTTACTAAATGCAAGTGACCTATTGCCACTGTAAGCCACATGTTTTCAGGTGCTGTTGTATACTCCAGATCATAAATCATTCCAAGCCCTGTTCTTACTTTTTTCCCCCATATTTCTGGTACGAGTTCATTTTAATGTCACCTGCTCAAAAAAAGCAATTCTGTCCAGGTTTGGCTGGTCCAGATTTTTTTTTACTACTTTAATTTGGCATTTCCGTTCTTAAGGATGATTCATGGTTCATAAATCTTGCATTCAGTATTTTCTCTTACCAAGTTTTCTCTGGAAAATAAAATATCTACCACTTGGAGGGTGCTCTTTATTAGGTTGAATGTTCTTAAGAGTTTGTCTTTATCATGCTAAGGATCCTGTGATCCTCTACCAGTGTAGTCTCGTGTGACCGTCTGGGTGTTTTTATGTTATCTTTTTTTAAAAAAAAATCTCAATATGCACCAGATTGATGTTGATGTGGTCATTTCTAAGGTTACCGATCTCTGATTAATTTATTTTGGCAGCTTTAGGATTGTCTGTTTCATTTGGACTGTGGCTTTCAAATGTAAAAACATCTTTTTGAATCAACTCCAGACCTTTACCTTTTCCATAATTTCAGTATAAATAATGAAAGAAAAGTAACACCAGTCCATGACATAATTTTTTATCGACTGTCCACTTGCTTCCAGTCCATGCGAAAGTGAGGCTACATTTAAAAACGTGTAATTATTAAAGATTTCATCCAACTTGTTCATGAAGATGCTCAAATTAAAGAAAGTTTGAGCGATTTCAATTTCAAACTGAATAAAGCAAAATGAAAGACCCACTTTACGACCCATTGACCCACCCACTGAACTGAATTTGGTGGTGAAAAATGTTTCTTATGTTAATTTAAGAGCTGTTAAAACAGACCGGCCAATTGTGACCGGAGCTCTAAAGTAAGGGTGGGGGTGAACACAACAGGAGGGTTGTCTGTGAAGGTTCTCAGTCATCCAGGTCATCGTAGTCAAAGGAGCTTGCAAAGAAAAGCGTCTGGACTTCTTTAAGTTGCTTGAAGACGTTTCACCTCTCATCCGAGAAGCTTCTTCAGTTCTAAGGTCAAATGGTGGAGAGTCCCAGATATAAACCTAGTGGGAGTTTCCCCCCACAGAGGGACAAAGGACCCCTTGATGATCCTCTAATTGCCTGAGCCAAGGTGTGAAACTGGGTGTGGGTCCCAATCAGCCAGAGTTTCGGGTGAGTTCATTGTGAAACCTGGCCCCACCTTATCATGCGAATTCCTGAGATCAGATGGCCCAGGATGTGAGTGGGCGTTAAGGCGTCTGGGAAGGGATCTCAAAACTGGATTATAGATGGCAGACACCAACTCTCTGCCATCTATAATCTTCATCTATAAAGAAACGTCTTCAAGCAACTTAAAGAAGTCCAGACGCTTTTCTTTGCAAGCTCCTTTGACAACAGGAGGGTTGTCATTCACAGTTGAAGCTGAAATATGTAGAGTATCCCCGTGTTTTTGATCTATACTGCAACCAGCCACCTAACCTATAATGATACTGTTTGTATTTATACTCATTGATATCTATTTCCTATGAAAGACTTTGAGATGCACCCATTTATAGTCCTAATAACTGATACTTGCATTGTTTAAATAAAGAGAATTAAATTATTTAGAATAAAAAGATCAACAAAATAAAAAGACCATTGTGACCTCTAGAAGAACATCAGTAATGATACACAGTTCAAACTATAAGACAGAAAAGTGAACTAACCATTGCACTTCTGAGGTTTGAGAAATCAGGTCAAATTACTAAGCAGTACACAGCGCTTCTGTTGAGTAAAATAAATGCTAAATTTCTCATGACAGGAACAACAAGAACAATGGAAACAGTGCAGGGGTGCTGGAAGGTATTTGCATGTGTGAAAACCAGTTTGTGCTTTGTGGTTCAAAGTGTGAAAAAACATCTCTGCAGTACTTCAGATGTCTAAACTCCCAGTGTGAGCTTTCATACCCTACCCCTGTATATATGTGCATTTGCTAGTTTTTCACAGAACAAAACAGGGACTGACCTTCTTTGAGGCTCTGGACCCATCGACTTCTGCTTTCATGACTTGGAGCAAATACATAGAGGGTGTTGGTATCGTACACCACCTGGACACAAACACACAGATCTGTCTGCTAACACAGTTTTATGTAGATTTCAAAGCTGCATAGGCATAGTTTATTCTTACAACAAAACAAGAAGCAGTCTGAAAGCTTAAACATACTTGGGAGGTTCATAATGCAACAAGAATAATACACTTTAGACTCAACTTGAAAAAAAGGCAGATGTGAAATGTAAAAGTGTGGTTACAGGTTAAATTTGGCATAATAATTGGATGTAAACTATAATGTGATATTTAAAATCCCCATAAACCAGATATACCAGTGTCATTTCCTAAATGTTCCTGATACAAACAGAGTAAAATTTAAGCATTTAAGCAAGTTTGAGCTTATTCTGCCTTCAAGAACAGGTCAGAGGTCCAAAACGATGTAATATTTTAATTTGTATAAGGGGCTTAGCAAGAAAGTGACTGGACTTCTTTAAGTTTCTTGAAGACGTTTCACCTCTCATCTGAGAAGCTTCTTCAGTTCTCAAACCAAATGGTGGAAAGGCCGAGTTGTCCCATAAAAGGGACGTTGACCCACTATTGATCAACTCAAGAATGGTACTGCATTTGTGTCTACAGGGAGTGCAGAATTATTAGGCAAGTTGTATTTTTGAGGAATAATTTTATTATTGAACAACAACCATGTTCTCAATG